TTAAAATCACCTGGGAAACTTGCAGAGAATAAAATGTCTAGACCTTATCCCAGACCAACTAAAACTAATTCTTTGAAGTAATATCTGACCATAGGTATATTTTAAAGCCTTAAGGTAAATCAAATGTACAAACCAGGGAAAAAGCCGAACTGTAGTTCAGGGAGAAGCAATGTGAACATCTCCAGGGAGCTTATTAAAAATGGAAAATCCTGGGTCCTTCTTGTTGCATCAGAATCTGCATTTTTACCTTGATCTCCAGGTGATTCACAGACACATTAATGTTTGAAAAGCATTTGTATGTGACAAAATTTATAGGGAAGAAATTAGAATTTGTATTTTCCCTCCACCCTCTCTTTATTGATTTTCGGACCTCTTTTAAAGAGGAAAGGTACTAGACAGGAAAAGGAAAGACAAACTCAGTGGTGCATAAGTCATAAAGCAGTGAAGGTTGAAGGTCAAACAAAGGCAGGTACCAGGTAGAGTGCATGAATGAGAAAATTGGATGCTCTGTACAACTGACTTAGTTATTGGAGTTACCTACAGCTCTTTGGCCATTGCTCACCTTACCAGATAGCCTAGCAATGTGCAAATGAAATAAATCCACCAGGTAAAATTCAGAGGCAGCAACCAATTTGCGATTTCAGGCATTAGTAAGTTTGTGAGTATGAAGATAAGTTTGCCCTGTATGCCATGAGATATACCCTGTCCTCTTCCCTTGAGAAGTCTTGGAGAATGGGAGCTTTGCTCAGTCTGGAGGTGGGTACAAGACTTCAAAGGGGAAAATCCTTGGGAATAATGTGTGAACTTGATTTTATTCTCTGGTGGGATTCCAGTGAAGAGTATCAGGCAGATTGTTTTGTGAACACTTGGAGAGAAAAGAAGGGAGCCCTGAGCTTTTCAAGGTTAGTTGATAATATTGTTGGTCTGATTTATTCTCTTTTGTGATGGAAAGTCAGAGAAATGTAGATACAGTGTCTTCATTTTCACAATGCCTGATAGATGCCCCTCATATTGGTGTGTTTCACTATTATTATGTGCAAAAGAAATAGACTGTTTTTTCCTGCAGTGTTTTGGGTATTGTAAATGGCAATATAACTAAACCTATACCTGTGTAATGATGCACCAAAGTCACTAGTTTCTACTGGTTTCTGGTAGAAGCTTCTGGGACCCTATTCTAGGCACCATCAACTTCCAGAATGTTATCCCTCTACCTTAGCTGATGATTGGCAAGGCAGATTTATTGCTGGAACAGAGGTTGGAAAAATGGAGAATGGATATGCACTTTAGGATCTAAACAGACATTGTGACAAGGTATGATAAAGCAAATTTTTCAAAATGATAAATTATAGAGAAAAATGTGAAATGGAGAATGATATGGCATTAGCAATTGGCAGAGGGATTATGGGATTTTAGTCCATTGGAGCCTGGTTGTTTTGTTTGTGCAGCTGCCAAATGCACTGTTGGATACCTTAGGCTGCCTTAACTGTGTTCCCAGCAACAGAGTGACTCTTCTTGCTGCATGGGACTCCAGCTCCTGCTTCCAACATGCTTTACCTTATTATTTTCAGTCTTGATTAGCACACATTAAAAGCAAAGATAGCATTCTGGAACAAGTCCACATAGAGTCAGCTGGTTAATAAAAGTACTTGAATTCATGTCCTACTGCCATTGTAGGGGTGAATATACAGAGAATCCCAGGGGTGCATGGATTAACTGATATGGCAGAGCTGGTAGGTAGTGGAGCTTAGTGCTCTAATGCAGGCATTCTGATCCTGAATCCAGTGCCTTCCTACTGTAACACCTTCCTGTCTTTTCCCTTCCTTCTTCAGATGACAGTGTTCGTGATTCAGAATATCTATCAAGTTCCCACTTTATTTCTCACGAAGACTGGTTCATTTTCCAATGAAAAGAAACCCCATCTAACAGCAGTAGCTTCTTCCTTACTGCTGGGGCTGAGTGTAAACTGTGCATGCCTTTTCTTTCTTTTCCTCTTTGTTAACTGAGTCTTATTTGCCTTAAGAGTCCCAACTCTAGTCCTTCTTGATGTGGGGCTGGCTAAAACTATTTGGCAGCACAGGCTCTCTCAGCCTTTTTTCAACATTCTTGAGCTCTTTCACTTCACCTATTCATTCTTGCTTGCATTCATTTACTTGCAAATATTTAGAGTGCCTACTACTTGTGTTATAGGTAGTTAGACAGGCGTGGGCTGGGTAGAGTGGGGGAGGGAGGATAGGAGAGGGCTTTCTCCCCACCAACCAGGAAAGTCAGACAATTATCAGGTGATGATTCAATAGTTATCACATTGCCTCTCTAAAAATGATAATTTCGTAGCCCGGCACCAGGGGAAGACTATCTCCTGATGGTCCACAGCTGTCACAGTAAAGTGTTAATTAAATGCAGACACCAGGGAGAGGCAACTTCCCTGGCATGCACATTAAATGACAAAATGGTAGAGTATAACCTTCCGGGGGCACTCCTCCAGAAAAGGGAAGAAAGCCTCCGAAGGGCATGCATAAAACTTCCTCACACAGTGCACATGCTCACTTCCCAAGGGTGAGGAGGGCACTTTGCATCTGGGCAGCCCAATCTAAGGGAATAATTATGGGAAAGGGGCTCAAGACACTGGTAGTGGGCCAGGATCTTAAGTCCTAGGATCAAGGTTAAATGCTGCACTTGACCTTCTCAGTACCTTCTTGCAAGTGTACTTTCCTTTCTTTCCTGCTCTAAAGATTTTTTAAAATAAATCTCCGTTTCTGCTCTTGCTTTGATCTCTTTCTCTACCTTATGCCCCTCAGTTGAATTCTTTATTCTGAGGAAGCAAGAATTGAGGTAGCTGCAGACATGTATGAATTAACTGCTGGTAATTCAGATACCTTCTGTCCCTAACACTTGTCAAGCATTGTTGTAAGTGCTAGGATATTATGGTGAGCAAAACAGAATATCTAATTTCCTGGTGAATGCTGCAGAAAGGGACTGATGAAAACAAGAAAGCAAATCTGAAAAGTAAGATAATAATAAGAATTGTAAAGAAAAATGAAGCAGGTTAATGGGTTCAAGCAGGTTAATCATGCGTTGTAAAGAAGAATGAAGCTGGGTGGAGGACTGTACTTTTAGATATGGTCAGAAAATACCTTAGACATGATGATTAAGCAGAAACTAGAAATAAATGAGAATACTGAATCATGCAGATATTTTGGGGGGTAGTGTGTTAGCCAAAAGAACCATGAAATGTCAACAAGACTCTGAAGTAGGGTATACTTGGTATAGTTGAAGTGCAAGGAGACCTGTGTACCTGAGGGGAGTGGGTATTCATTACACTGCCTGGTATTAATAATGTTTCCCAAGTGATCTGTTCTATGGCTACAGAACACCTTAACTACTGGGTTGGAGATTAGTGTTGTGGAAGATGATTGGAACTGCATTTTGAGGACTAAATAGATATATAGGATATACCTTGTAATATATGTAGTATGTATAAAGTATATTATACATATAAATAACAATTCCTTATGGTGCTGCAAAAGTTTTAATTTTTATTATTGTCACTATCAAAATCATTATCTCAATTCACCCTATGGAATCCAGAGGAAAAATAAAGGTCTTTGAAAGTAGCGCTTTTCGATTTTAAATGGAATTGCTTTGCTATAACCCTGAATGTGTGGTTGCACATTTGAGTATTTGGGAAAGACTCTTAGGTAATTTCTTTTTGAAGGAAATGATTTCTACCACATGCCACAACACAGCCTGGCTTACTCATGTACTCTTTTAGATTCTGTTTCCATGTGTGGAATGTGAAGCATAGCATACTTGATTTTATTTTTAAAACAAAATGTAGCAACCATGATGATGTTAATACTGGTGGTCATAATAGCTAACATGTAGGGAGAGTTAACCATTTGCCAGGCGCTGTTGTTAAGTCCTATGCATGGATTTTCTCTTAGCCCTCATAATATTATGAGATAGGTAGCATGATTAACCTATCATCTAACTGAGGGAATGGAGAATTCAGAATGTTTATGTAACTTCTCCAAGGAAAGTTGGCAGGAAGAAGAACCAGATTTTATACCACTTTGGCCTTATGACTTGGAAATGTGGATCACCCAAAACTCATTTCTGCTTTGATTTCTATTTTCCCATAGCCTATTCGTTGAGTGTATTTAAGGAGTAGGGAAAATATATTTGATTTTATTTAGTTGGATATTGAAAATAAAGAATTTCTAGTATCTCTAAGCACATAGCTTGGGCTGTGAGAGCTATGGAACAGTAGGAAGAGTTTGGCAGATGCCAAAGATGAGAAACCGGTATGAGTTTTATTAGTCACAGCAGAAAATAAGTAGCACTTAGATCCACTGTAGAAACTTTAAATACATTCTACTGTTTGGGACTCAGTCCTGAGTACTAGGAACCAATGTTTTCCCCTGAAAATAGACAATGTTCTGAGTTCCTGATGGCCCAAGGTACTATGGATTCATTCTGAGAATACTTTCTGCAGTTGAGTTTTGAGAATCCCAAGTCTTAATCTTACCACTGACAACATTGCCACCATATTTGTTTGCAAATACAGACAGGCAACATAGTAGCTATCTTTATTTTCTTTATTTACTTATGTCCTTTAGATAAATTTTGCAGAAATATTTATCTTTTCACTCACTTGCCCCCAGATTATTATTTGCTTAAGCTAGTATTTCTTCTTCATTTTCCTCTTCCCTTACCACTTCTGGTGTTTCTGATAACTTGCTGAGTAAACATCTGAGAGTTACCAGGTTTTAACTTCAGTTATGAAGAAAAAGAATTGCATGGACATTGTGATAGTTCTTTTTCTGTGAGACAAAATAGCACCTCTGGGATTTTAATATATCTTTTAGAAATGGCTGTAGTTGGGAGCTAAATCATGTTATTTTAAAAAGTTGGGCTGTCCATATGGCTCTCTAACTTAGGACTTTATGAAATAAACTGTAACTAAAAGGGGGAAAACAACTAAAAATATTTATTGCAGAAAATAAAAAAGTTAACCAAAGTATTTTATTGATACATTCTTGGACAATATCACAGAATTGAAAGAGAATGGAAAGAGGGAATTTTTCAGCAAGGGTTGTTTTTTCCCACTAAATTGGCACATAAGCAGCAAGATTAACGAAAGTACTTATTACAAACAGTAAAAAACATACATGCTTTTTTTTTTTGAAGTCCTTATCACACTGATCAGTCAAAGGGGGCATGAACAAAACCTCAAGACATGAAAAATCCATATTCTTTCCTTCAAACAGCTTAATAATTAAAATTATTGCAAAATATTCATATACCCTAATTAAAATAACAAAAGAGAACACAAATACAAATATTGAACATAATAAACATGTACTGTAAAATACATTACTGGCATGCATTCCAAAGATCAAGACCTCTATTCAGTTCAGCCAATACCTTCCTTTTGTGTAACCTATAGTATACCAAAGATAGGTGGGGCATACTTTCTCAGCACAGTTTTTGGTCTTTAAACATCTTTTTTGTCTTAAAAAAATAACATGATGTGCAGTGGTACTGTAATCATAATTATACAGTCATGTACAGATGTACGGTTTTTTAGTCTGCCGAGATCTCTTTAAAATTTTGTTTTAAAATTTTTCCAAATATTCCACCATCTGAGAGAATAGGGCTCTATGAAAACAAGGCATTCGAAAACAAACAGTGAACCGAGGTACAACATCAGATGGCAAAGTGCAAAAGTCCTCACAAACTGTACAGAAAATTTCAAAACCTTGCAACCTAGAAGTACATACGTAGTAAGACAGGTCAGCCCCAAAACGGTCCTGTGGCTCTCAGCAGTCCATCCTAAAGAGCCGGGGCGGGACTTAAGTTTCAACACTCCCTTTGGTAGGGAACGTCCAAAATTGCAGCCGAGTTGGCAGTGCTGATGTCAGTGACTTATTAAGCCAAGATAAAGTAAGGATATTTCATAAAGCAGCTGTTTAGGTCACTTGGATCCTCTAACATTGGTCTCCTGGCTGGGGAAGCTCCTCTGGTGATGGGAAGCGGGTAGGACCAAAGAGTCCTATGCCAGGTTGGGTGACAAAATAACTGAGGGTCTTCCTCCTCCATAGTTCCATGGGATGGAACAGGTTAGATAACCAGGTTATTATAACTGACATACTTCTTTTTTGCAGCAGGGCCTGAAAGAAAAATGAGAAAGTGTCAGTTTCAGTAATAACCCTGTTTGCAAAGATAGAAATAGAATTAGAACTTTTCACTTGAGGTGCGAAGTCAAGTGGGGTGATACAGCTCTGAAGAACACACACATAACCTTGGATTCCTCTCACTCTATGGCTTTGGCCACCAAAATCTGCAGTTTCCAGTGATTCTCAAATCTTCTGCCTTCTCTTTTCTGAGATGTCTCCAACTTCCCTCTGTATACTCTATAAGTAAATTTATCAGTGTTTGTTATGCTTTCTAATCAACTAACCCTTAACTTAAAGGGTTCACTCACATTGTGGTATATTTCTCGTGTGATCTTCTCACAGACCTTTTCATGGTAAATGGCCTTTGCTTGGAAAAGTTCTGTCCTGGGTAGCTGAAATTAATTGAGGTTGAATTCAGATGAGGTCAGAGTGTCTTCTTCAGTATTGATTCACACAAATGACTACATATTGACTTGCATAGTGTTACCATCAGTAAGTTGTAAATGGTCATTTGCAGAACTATTTCCATTAAGATGTAAAGCTCACTTAAACCTGTCAGGTGTCTGACACATGCACACTCTACATTTGTTTTCCTTAAATGTAGAAATTATTTTTCCACTTGGTACCGTGATTTTAGGACTCACCTTCACCCACTCACTCATGTAGTAAGTATGTGCCTACCGTATGGCAGCCACAGGACTAGGCACTGATGACCAGCCAACAAGCACAGCAGATTTCATGTCCTCATGCTGGAAACAAAGAAACCAGGATCCCAAAGTGTGCCTTTGCTTCAGGTTCTAGTCCTCAATACCAAATAATACAGTTGCATTCTTTATTCATTAAATCTTAGTAGTTTTGCATCAGTTTCTGTTGGGCACAAAGTAACTTTCATGTAGCATTTACTGAGGGCTTACTTTGCTTACTGTTTTTAGGTTCTAAACAGAATTGTTCACTCAAGACAGAGAAATGTCAAGAGCTCTTCAAGAATTCCTAAGTAAAGATTCATAGACAGTTTCAGAGGAACTGAGAAGTCATATTAACATACTAAGAGAGAGTTTGTATTTGAGCTTTGAATAATACAAGTAGTATATTACAGATGCTTACATGCTTATAGATATTACACAGGATACTTTACCCAGCAAGTCTAATACTTTCTGGATTAAAAATTGGGACTCTGACAAACTTTGACTTAAAGACTCATTTTTATTTGAAACTCATTTCTATGTTAAACCATACTGTATTTATGAACTAAAATATTAAAAAAGGTAAATAAGAATAGAATTTTATGAAATTCAGGGCCTCCTGGAAAATCTGGCTATGAGAATTGAGTCACTATATGTCCGCATTTGATAAACACATGGCCTCAATAATGCACAAATCTTCCAAGAAGTTTCCCATTGTCACAGTGTTGTCTTCATTAATATGCTTGGTTTGGACACAAGAGGAAAACTTTCAAAAGATGTTTCTTGACTCAATCTTATTTTCAGTGTCATAGCTAGAAGACCTCAGCTGACGGTTTCAAGTAATAGTCACAGCATGCCTTGTCAAATGCCAACACACTGATTATCCTTAGGACAAAAGGGGGGGAAAATGAAAACCCAGAAGCTGACCTAAATATCTGATACCACTTTTATTGTGTGATTAATTAAGACTGTTTTCTGTAGTATAGCTGTCTAGTGACAGCAAAAATGAATTTCCTTAAATTGGTTACTATAAAATGCTAATTATTAAGGAAGAGTTTTTACCAAAAGAGTAAGTAGGTTAGAAAATATTGTTCCCAAATTGTCAAGCTGAGCGTTTACTAGGATTAAATTAAAATCAAGATGAGGTTATGTTTAAAAATGGAATGTAAAAATAATGGCATTTCATTGATACTTTGCTTAGATTATCTTCTTGGGTTCTACACAGTCTTGAGATGAGTCGTCTTTGTGATCTCCATTTTACATAGGAGGGGTCTGAAGCTCAGGGGAACAAGCATTCTGAAACTAGGCTTCCTGATGCTTGAATCTGTATTTCCGTTTCCATGATGTAATAGGAAGACCATACTGCAGCTGGACTCGTCTGACCTGGGTTCTGATTCAGCTCTGTCACATACTTGAAATATGACCTAGGCAAGTGCCTTGAGAATGAACTCCTTGTAACCTTTGTAAAATTGGGAGAATAATTGTTACCTGGTGCACTGTTGATATCACCAATGTATAGAACACCCCAGTTTCTCATCAGAGAATATAATGTATACATGTATTTTTAAATTACAAAGTTCTATACAAATGATAAGCCTCAGTACACACTTTCTTTGCAGAATTGCTAGAAACATTGTCCCAAAATTATAATGGAGTTTGTGCAGGTCCTAGAAGGGCAATTTGTGTACTTTTCAAAATGTATTATGTTTATTTTTAAACTATCCAAGTCCTGTGAGTAAATAAAATAAGTGCTTCTGGTGTCTGATAATTCCATTTATTTGACTAGCAGTGTAGTTTATGGTCAAGAAAGAAAATTACTGAGCTCAGAATAGTTGTGCAATGGAGTACTTGCTAAGGAAATATGCTTTTTAAAAGAGTATGTTTTTCTGGTATAAAGTTACAGATTTTAAGGAAGAATAATAGTATTGGCATTGTCCCTATTAACTTTTTAAAGTTATATCTACTTATTTACATAAGTAATTTTCAAAGCAAGGTATCGTGAAGAGTTGATGTTTACGGTAAGGTAGTGTTAAGAATACTAGTCTGTGAAATGAATTAATAATACATCATTGCTACTTAAGAAAGGTGAGACATTCCAACTCATTCTTGATGTCTTGTCAAAACCAACGATCAGTTTGACATTAACTTTATTGAGCTTCTTGTTTTCTCTTTGCTTTTCCCTGTCTCACAAAAGTTTCGTTCCTTGAAGTGCATTCTATGGAACACACATAACCCAGATTCAAGGAAGTGAAGAAAAAAATAAAAAAGAAAGCCTCCTGATATTCTGTTGAGAAACACTAAATAAGTAATATTGAACAGGATTCTTTCCTGTTTCCACCCCATATTTAATTTCTTTGTATTTTAAGTAATAAGAAATATTGTAGATTATTAGCGACATACCATATGTTCTCTTCAGCTCTTTCTGAAAAATGTGTGTTAAGATGTGTATGTGAATAAGAACATGTAGGAAGTGATTTAAACATCCAAAAAGGATAAAAACCAAATAAAACAAAATATTATACAAGCCCTGAATAGAACACAGTAACATACCAACATCTTGTTTCAGGTGCTCCTCCATCCACTTATAGGAAATAAGATGCAGTCAGAGCCCTCCACACTCCATGATCCTCCCTGTGCCCTGTGATATCTACTGTCCTGAACTCGGGATGTGTCCTACTGCTACTGCAATAGTTGTCCATAAACTATAGATAGTATTGATTTACATGTTTTAAGTTGTGCAAAGGATTCCATGCATATCCACTTGAAATCTGGCTTCATATAACATTGTGTTTTTAAGATTTACTTATATTGATTTAATAATCATAGTAACTAGCTTTCTATATATTAATGTTAGCATAACAGATGTTCTGTAACTCTTTTCCTATTGATAAACCCTACTTTCCAATGTTTTTGAAATAATAAGCAATGCTGGAGTAGATGATATCTGCAAAACAATATTTTTAACGAAGTTGAATGACAATGCTATAGGCCAGGATGAAATATTTGTCATGTATTTAACTTACAAAGAATTGATATGTAAGTATTATTAACTTATACAAAGAAATAAATAAGAGACAATCTAATTTTAAAAAACATAGATGCAAGATAGACAATTTTTAGATGAATAAATACAAATAAATGAAAAAGTTCAACCTCATCAACTAGAGAAATGCAAATTAAAACATTAATAAGATAGCATTTCATGCCTGTACCATTACAAAAGAAAAAGTGAACTAATACCAAGCATTGGTGGGCATGAAAAAGTGAGAACTTTCAGACCACACTAAGGTAGAAATACAAATTGGTAAATTCATATGGGAGAGCCACTGGAAATATCTTAAAAACCTAAAGGTATGCATACCACTGAATCAGCAATTTCAATTCTAGATCTAGACCTGAGATACTTTCACATGCACACATAGACATGCTTAGGACTTCAAAAGCCTTTAATATAATGATTTCTCTGTGGATTCTCCAAGAACAAAAATTCTCTTATAGAGGCTAGGCACATAAAGGAGCAAAGTAGGCCAGGTGTAAGATATTAAGGAAGGATACAGACCATAGTGAACTAGAAAACACCTACCCCATCTAACAGGCATAATTGTGTGGGATTTTACCACAGAAGGAAGATAGTGCATTTTTTGAGGAGGAGAGTGACTCCATAATTTTATGTTAAAGTTCATTTTTTCACTTAGCCATCTAACAAATATTTATTGGGTACATATTATGTGTTGGGCCCTATTCTAAGCATTAGAAATACCTCAGATTTTAATAAAAGTTTTAAGATCATATTAAAACTGATTTAGCAAGTCAAAAAAGGAATGGAGACCAGAGGCCAGACAGCATCTCTAGGCTGCTTGTTTTCAGCTCTGTGATCCTGCATGCACTCCGTTCCTCAAATCTACTTGATTATAAAGCACCCTCTCCTGCTCCCGCTCCCCTGATTTTAGTAGATCATTTTGCATTATGTAAGAACATACTTTTGGAAATACATGGGGATATTTCTTAAACCATAACCCTGCCTATCACTTTAGTCATTTGCAAGCCTCACCAAACTTCTGAATATTGGTCTGTTGCCTGATAGAACTTTGTCCAAATCAACTTTTCTATAAACCCATTCAAAGTACTGTCCATGCCTTTTGCCCCACCAACTCTGCCAACTATTGCTTCCCTATCAAACATGATTCAGAGTTGTTTACTTATAAATATTTCAGCTGGGAGGGATTCTTTATATTATGGTTTGCAGTTACTAACCCAAAAAGAAATACTTTTTTGCTAATTACTTTTGTAATCAATAGCCTGTTTTCTGCT